GGCACCTGTGAGGGTTATTTTTTATTCATCTGGCATGTTCTCATTCAAATACCCATTTAATGTGATCACCAACTATAGAAATAGTTAAACAATACTGTAAATGGACATGTTTTCTTTGTTGGGTTGATTGCTGACACACTGAATTCTTTTCATTAAGTAATTTGACCGCAGGCATCTCTTTACTTGAGAAAAAGAAGAGGAAAGAAAAAGAAGCCCTAGCAAACAGATTTTCTCCTAGTTTTCATGTTTGCAGTGCTTAAATAGTGGGATATAATTAGGACTGCAGGATAAGTTACCCAGAGTACTGGATGATAATCAAGTCTAAAATAAACATGTAATTCCTCTTTGCATTTGACTATCACACGCAAACATTTGGTTATAAATAGGTGCATCATCCTCTTTGCAATACTATTTCATGTTCAAAATTAGAATGTGGAAAAGAAAATCCTATTTTAAGTGATTTAAAGCAGTTATGCAATTTGAAACTTCAGTTAGTTCATGAATCTTTCTTTCAATTGGATTACTTTTATATGCTCTGTAGTAAGTACCAGAAAACCATCTAAAGTAAAACATGTTCCAGCTGAAGAATCCTTACTGAGGGAACTTGCAACTGCAGCTCTTTTTAGCATTTGACCGTCTTATGTTAGCAAGATATCTGTAGACAATTAGTACATCCAATAGCTACTGTTACAAGAATAAATAAATGCTATTGATCTGTATACTGTCCATCAGGAGATCATTTACAAATGTAACTTGCTGATTTTCCCTGTTTGTTTCAAGGAAAGCAGCTCCACAGAGAGGGATTTGGGAGTCCTAGTTGACAACAGGTTAACCATGAGGCAGCAATGTGCCATGAAGGCCAATGGGATTCTCCACCAGGAGGAGCGTTGCCAGCCAGTCAATGGAGGGGATTCTGTCCCTCTGCTCAGCTCTGGTGAGGCCGCACCTGGAATACTGGGTGCAGTTCAGAGCTCCCCAATACAAGAAGGACATTGAGCTTCTCGAGAGGGTCCAGCAGAGAGCCACAAAGATGATTAAGGGACTGCAGCATCTATCGTATGAGGAAAAACTAAATGAACTGGGCCTGTTTAGAGAAGACTGAGAGGAGATCTGTTCAACAGGTATGAGTATCTTAGAGGTGATTGTAGGGAGGATGGGGCCAAGCTCTTCACTGTGTTGGCCCGTGACAGGACGAGTGGTAATGGGGGTAACTTGAAACACAGGAAGTTCCACCTCCATGTGAGGAAGAGCAACTTTATTGTGAGGGTGACAGAGCCCTGGAACTGGCTGTCCAGAGAGGTTGTGGAGTCTCCTTCTCTGAAGATCTCCAAACCCTCCTGGATGCCACCCTGTGTCACGTGCTCTAGGTGTCCCTGCTGGAGCAGGGGAGGTTGGACTAGATGATCTCTAGATGTCCCTTCCAACCTCAACCATTCTGTGATTCTTTTTGAAGGTTGTGTGTCCAAATGCCCTAAACTGCTATGACTTAATATTAGCTCCATCTACAGAAAAGAGTTGACATGGTGCAAAAACTGTGGGACAAAATTTGTGATTATTACTGTCAAGTGATTTTAAGACAGTAGTACTTTGTGGCTGGGGATCAAATTGGAGATTGGTACCTTACATGAAGCACATCAAAGTTTTCTGTAAGTGCTATCCATCTCACCTAGGTGTATGCATCTTCCACATCTAGGGAAAGGGTATAAAATACTTCTTATATTAATAATATTTTAGTTTTATCAAGACATTCAAAGCTCAAGTTGACTGCCATGAAGTGGAATAGAATGAAATGGCTAAATAGCACCTCATTGCATTTGCTGCTTTTAATTCTGTGCTGTACTCCAGCCCCTTGATTGGGCTGCCACTGCGTGACGGGTGAGAAGAGCAGTCAGGCTTCCATCTGCTGTGGGATTCTGTGGACAGCAATGATGCTAACTGAGTCTGAGCAGGTCAAATCCCTGATGAAAAAGGATGCGGTAAATTTGGTAGATTATCGCTCTGGTCCTCCATGCAAAGTATAAAGTAAAGATTTGATCATATGGCCAGTTAGAAATATGTTTGAGCTGTACACTATGAAAATGAAACAAAATCATGTATGTGGGATTTGGAGTTGAATCTTGCAGGGGAGAAAAATACTTCACACTAATGAAATCCAGCAAACTTCAGTAAGGATATCACTCACAGATTTAAAGAAGAATTAAGTCCATTTGAAAGAAGCCTGCTGCAAAGGCAGCAAATTAATAAGATATGATTCACCAAAAAAGTCATTTGGAAGCTTTTTGAGTTAGTATTTTCAAAGTGTGGCAGCTATCTGTATACTGAAAATAATTTGGTAGTACAGAGCCTGATAGTCCCACTGACTTTCTTACCTGTTGTGATAAGGTTACTAAGAAAGGGATGAAATATGTTTGATTTAGCTGCAGTTGCTACTCCTTCCTGATTCCTTGCAGTTGTTTTGCTACTGTGGGAGTGACAGAAATAGTTGCCTATTGTAGAGCTGAGATTACAGTAGTAGTTAATAAATATTAAATATGACATGTGTTGATTTGGCTGAAAATTGGCATTGCATAGCACCAAAAGGGATGAAATGACCTTGAATGATTCATAGATAGTAAAGACCTGGATTAATTTCTTCTGTTCCATTTTGCAAGGAGTATTCATGTTAGACTAGCACTACAAGTACAGAACGTGATCATGCACACCATTAATTGTGAATAAGTGAAATGTATTTTACACATATTATGGTGTGCTTTAGTGACTTGGGATACTGTGGTATTTGTGGTTATGTTGCTTAGTCCCAATGGGGGTGAAATATGTAGTCAGAAAGAAGCATGGATTTGTGGTTAAGTATTAAATTGGAAATGGATCTCCTCTTTTCCAATGTGATGACAGATTTATTTGTGGCAAAAATCACTTTAATTTCTGCGTAGAATAGGGAATTCACAGTAAGTATTGTCCAATTCAGCTAGAGAGAAGGCTTAATTCATTAATAATTTTTAATGTACTTTGGTGGAGGCATTAAATTAGCTCTTACTCTTGCAAATCTCTGTATTTTAGTATTAAATTCCTCTTTGCTCTCAAAGAAAGGTTAACCTAGCAATAGATTGCCTCCAGGTAATAGCTGTTACTGGTGTGATTATGTCTAATTTGCAGCTATTTGCAGCAAGAAAATAACTTTAAGATGAGTTGTGGTGTGATATTGTATTTATTTACCACTTGCTTGTTTTTAGCTCTCCTTTTCTTAGTACTGCCTGTCTAGTCGATGAGAGAGTATTCCAGAAACTGTTTTTGACTTTTTTTTCTCCCAGAAATAGTTGCATCTACAAAGAATATTTAAGAGACCTATAATGAGGATTGTAGTTGAAGTTATTCACTGCACCCATCTTGACAGTACTAAGGCAGATAGTCTGGGTATAATTCAACCACCTCAGCTGAAGTGAAAGTGCTCCAAGAACTGTAAATAAGCATTATTTAAGCAGATCTTGTTTTTCTGTTGTTTATATGTTAACAGATATTACATAGAATGGCAGCAATGTGTATTGCTCACAACAGTTTAGCAGAGTTAAAGACTGTGTGGCAATGTTTTTCTGGAAAAATGCCAGCTGTTGTACATAATGGTATATTGAACACATTTGTGGAGGAAGCTTTATGTAATTTACTGTGCCAAATGCCACTCTGCCATACTAACTGTCCCAGAAGCAGCAGGAACAGCTCTTCAGAGTATTTCTCCACACACTGCCTCTTTGCCGGGCTTTTGTACTACTTGTACTTTTGTAAGATAACACCTCTTACAGCAATATTTCTCCAACAGCTTTTCCTTCTCCTCTGCATCTTGTGGTGCACATCCATGTATCAGTGGAGTAGGGAAGATAGCTTTATACATCTTTCACCTATTAGTGACCTGGTTACTGTTAGTGATGTACTAATCCTTCCAGTGTCCTAGATATGAAAAATTACCCCCCAAAGGGGCTGTGTATGTTCAATCCCACTGATGGGTATGGAGGTCCGATATGTGATTTTTAAGTGACTGGTTAACTTTTTTTTTCTCTCTCCACACTGATATATCAAAACGGGTTGCCAAGGCAGGAAAAATTAACAGTCTTGATGAGATATCCTGTCTCGCACACTAGTGTGTGTTAATAGTGGTCTGTATGTAATGTGCTAGAGTGCCAAACAACATGCTAGGAAAATCTTGCATTCTGAGCACAGTGTGAGATGAACAGCTTTACTTTTGGGAGTGTGCGTGCTTTGAGAGTGTCC